CCAGAGGTAGCAAGGAGTCAGAAGGTTGGGGTTCAGTAACTGATTCAACCATAGTACCATAGCTGGGAGGAGCCTCAGACCCCAAACCTGTTATTTTACAAATAAAGAAACTGAGTCTCAGTAAGATGAAATGACTAGTAAACAGCAAGGCTGGGATAAGAACCCAGGTCTTCTAGCTCCAAGTGCGCAGTGTGTCACCCAGGAACAGCCACCAGGAATATACCTGTATAGAGAGCCCAGCTGCGTTGTTATTCAATGAGGTCTGACCCTTTCTGACCCCAATTGGATTTTTCTTGGCAGAGATACTGGAGCCGTTTGCCATTTCCTTCTCCAGCTCATTTTACAGATGAGGAAACTGAGGCAAAGAGGGTCACACAGCTTAGAGGTGTCTGAGGTCAGATTTGAACTCAGATGAGTCTTTCTGACTCCAGGTCTGGCACTCTATGCACTATGGCGCTACCTAGCTGCCCAGCTTCAGGTTTTGCCTAACAGAGGCTCTGTGATAGAGATGGAGATAGCCCTTTCCCAGTCCCCAGTTCAGGTAATCCTTGTCTGCTCAAGGTTATGGGTACAAGATGTTGCAGGCTCTGGCAGCCCTGTGGACTCCTGAGGGCCATGGGAGGGGGTCAGTAGGGTTTAGCTCTGTTCAAGGAAGCCTCTATTCCCTCATCCTACTTAAAAGGCAGCTAGGTGGCCAGGCCTGGAGTCAGGAAGACCTGTGTTCAATCCAACCTCAGGCACTTACTAGTTATGGGATCCTAGGGAAGTCACTTTGACTTCTGTCTGACTCAATTTCCTCATCTGTAAAATGGAAATAAAAAATAACATTTACCTCCTAAGTTTGTTTTTTTGTTTGTTTGTTTTTGTGAGGCAATTGAGGTCAAGTGACTTGCCCAGGGTCACACAGCTAGTAAGTGTCAAGTGTCTGAGGTCAGATTTGAATTCAGGTCCTCCTGATTCCAGGGCTGGTGCTCTATCCATTGAGCCACCTAGCTACCCCGCTAAGGTTTTTGTAGGAATAAAATGAAATAATAATTTTAAAGTGCTTTATAATGCTTAAAGTGTTATATAATATAAATGCTAGCTATTATTACTACAAACTTCCCATTATCCACAACTTCTGGTTGACTTCCAGGCATCCTTATCTGAATGCTGTTAGACTCCTTGTGGTCCACGAATAAAATAGAGTATCACTGAGCTAAGAAATGATGAATGGGAAGAATACAGAAAAACATAAGAAGACATCTATTCTATGAACTTATGCAGATTTAAGAAAGGAAAACCTGGAAAAGAAGAAGGGGGAAGGTGCCCCATGGACCCTTGGTGGGGATGGACCTGTGCCCTAACCCCTTCCAGAGCACATAATGACTACAACAAGGTAAGTAGAAAGAATCAAAAAGGAAAGAAAGTCAACTCCATTTAATTGAAGAAATTCAACTCCATCAATCAATCAATAACCATTTATTAAACACATACAATGTGCCAGGCACTGGGACTGCCTTAGGCTCTAAGGATCTAAGTACAAAGAATGGAGGAAGCAATAAGGAAATATATAAGTGCATACAGCATAAATATAAAGTGAATAAATACAAATAAATATGAAAATTGTATCTTCCTCTATTTATTGGGGAAGTGGGGGCCTGTGGGTGTGGAACACTGCATATATGGTCAGTCTCAGTTGATGTATTGGTTAATTTCATAGAACTGCTTTTCCGTCCCTTTTTTTTTTTCTTTTTTATCTGTTGGTATGAAGTATGGCACCTGGGTTAGGGAAAGGGGAAGCAGAGGTCTATTTGGAAATGGAGATGATATTTTTAAAAAAATAATTTTTTAAAGTCAGAATCCCTTAGCCCATCCCCTAGACTAGACCCCCAGTGACGCTGAGCACAGCCTGCTTTGGGCTCTGGCCAGTGAAAGTGTCTTTTCTTTAAGCTCCAGCCCCAGGGGATCTGGAGCTCTGGCCACTAGAGGGAGACAGGAGAGCTGGAAATAGAGCTTGAGTAGGTGGATGAGGGGAGAGTAGGGGAGGAAGAGGATTCTGTCCTTTTGGTTGGAAACAGCCTTCCCAGAATGGCAGACAAAAGAGCCTAGATCTGAGCCCGCAACCAGGGTTTTTGAGGGTCTTTGAGCTGGAAAAGGACCACTGAACCTTAGGAAAAGTGAGGTCATAGATCAAGGGAGCCCAGAAATTAGAGCTGGAAGATCCCTTCAATATCAACTAGTCTGACCCCTTGTTTTACAAATGGGGAAACTGAGGTCTAGAATGCCAACGTGACTTAGCTAGGGTCACACAGGATCCAAATTCATTGCCCTTTAGAATGGAATATTCACTCAATAAATTAACCAACACGCATTTAAGCAACTAGCATGTGCCACGTCCCCGGTCAGGCACTAGGGGTACAAAGACAAAAGGAAAAAATGAAACAAAAGCTCCTAGCCCCCCCTTGATTCCCCTGCGTGTGCCACGCATGCCCATCCCCATACACACTCAGACCTCCTTGGTCTTGGGGGCCTTCCAACCCCAGGAACTCTGCTGCCCGAAGGAAAAAAGTACTGTAAACAGCAAAACCTCAGAAGCTGCTGCCCACGTCACCAGTCTGTCCTCCAAAGCCGGCAGCCCAGAATCTTGGAAGGCCAGAAATTCAGGAGAATGGGAATGAAAAGGCCTAGCAACCTCAAAAACTCAGGAGTCAAAAGGCCTGGAGAAGCAGAGATCCAGGATCCCGGGACCTGAGAGACCTGGGAGTCTAAAGACCCAGAGATCCAGTACCTCAGGAGCCCAAATACTGAGGAGCCCAGAAAGAGGTTCAGGAGCTCAATGACCCAGGAGAGCAGGAATTCAGACGGCCAAAAGCATTTGGCTCCAGGAGCAAGGGATTCACAAGCACAGAGGAATGGGGAAGTTCAAAGACAAGGGAACCCAGACACTCAGGAACCCAGACACTCAGGAACCCAGGCACTCAGGAACCCAGACACTCAGGAACCCAGATACCCAGGAACCCAGACACTCAGGAACCCAGAGACCCAGGAACCGAGACACTCAGGAACCCAGAGACCCAGGAACCCAGACACTCAGGAACCCAGAGACCCAGTAGTCCAGAGGGCCAGAAGCAACATAATAACTCAGGACTCCTGAGGCTGAGGGGCTCAGAAATCCCAGAATCCAGAAGCCCAGGATGCAGAGACCTGAGAACCCAAGGGCCCAGGAACTAAAATACACAGTTGTTGGTTTCAACCATTTTCGGGGGCCTAGGAGAGCAGCACTGTCCCCCACCCCACTTGCTGTCTGAGATAGGAAAAGAAGATGCCAGGTTATGGACCCTGAGGGCTTTCTGCCTCCCCCAGGGCCTAGGGCACCTCCCACAAACCAGCCAGATCCATTTCTAAGAAGCCAGCTCTAGGAGCCAATTTGGGGGGTGGCTGGAGATTCAGGGCACATTTGCTACCCCCAAAGGCCCATAGGATGGTAATGGGGGAGGGTCAGCTAATCCAATCCAACAAGCCATTATGAAATGTCTATATGTGCAGGGCTCTGGGGACACAAACTGAAAAATGTGCCCAGTGGTCCTTCAGGGCTTCCTGTCCTCACTGGTCTGCTTTTCTTTCTCTTTCCACGTCTTTCTCTATTTTTTTTTCTTTTTTGGTGAGGCAATTGGGGTTAAGTGACTTGCCCAGGGTCCCACAGCTAGTAAATGTCAAGTGTCTGAGGCTGAATTTGAACTCAGGTCCTTCTGACTCCAAGGCCAGAGCTCTATCCACTGCACCACCAAGTTGCCCCTCCACGTCTTTCTCATGATGACTGTTTGTCATCTATCTAGTTTTGTCTCTGGGTACTTACTCTGGCATTCAAGAACCTGGCTCCAACTTAACCTAGTTAAGCCTCAGTCCTTTCTTTCCTTCAAATGCCGCCTCATCTTCGCTCCCCTGCCCCAATACTCTCACCCACCCATACAGCACTTTCTCCTACAATTAATCTCCCTGCTTTAAAAATCTCACCCAAGAACTGCCTAAAAGGGAAGGTTGTTAAAATCTGGATGTGGACCTAGAAAGAGAAGGGAACTGGGTCTTCTTCTGCCAAGATCTTTGAAATGCAGAGAAGGTCAATGGGGATGAGACAGCTGGGGAGGAGGAGGAAGAATGGGCAGTGGTAAGGTAATTCCGTCTGGAGGTGGGGGGAGCCAGATGACAGATGACAGAGCCAAGTGGGTCCTTTTCATCACAGGTGTGGTGGCAGCTCCCAGTAGGTCTGGAGGTCCAAAGTGGCAAGATTGGAGGTCCAAGGTGGTGAGGCTGGCAATCTGTGGCAGTTGGGCTGAAAGTCCAAGATGACAGCCCCAGAAGGGAGATACCAGCATGGCTTACAGCTATGTCACTGACTTTCAATGATAACGCTAAGAGAGAGGCTGAGACCACAGGTACCTTTGGCCTTTATTGTCTCCATTGTTATGATGTAGATGAGAAATATACAGGAGGGTATACAAGAAGGACGAGCGAATGACCGTGGGGTCAGTGGAGTCCAATTCAAGAAGTGTAAAAAGGTTCAAGACAGCACCAGGGCTGATGGGCCAAGGGAAACCCATCCCTACCTCAACCGCCCTGGGCATGGTCAGGAATGGAAGCCAACCACAACACCCCCATTCCCCAATACCAGCTGGCAGGAATTCTGATGGGAGCTGAGGATGGTGAATGGTGGGGTAGAGGAGAGAAGGGGTCGTGGAGGGCAGGGGAAGGAGGATGACAGAGATGGGGGTGGGGACTCAGCTTATGTAGCCCCTTCTGCAGGAGACCTTGCTCTGGTCTCGATGGGTGGCTAGTGCCTCATTTCCAAGGTTTACCATGTCTCTGGTTTGTATATATCCTGTATATACCTAAATGTGCATGTATCGTCCCTTAGAATGTAACCTCCTTGAGGGCAGTCAATCAATAAGCCTTTATTAAACTCCTACTATGTGCCAGGTACTGTGCTAAGTGCAAAAATTAGTCCCTGCTCTCAAGAAGCTCACAATCTAATGGAGAGACTTTTGTGTATTATCCCAGAGCCTGGCACACAGTAGGTGCTTAATAATTATTGATTGATAAAAGGGGAGAGTTCAAGACATCTCCAATTTGCTCTGGAATCCCAGGGACAGTTCCACAGCTTGAAGTACCAGACAGGCAGAGCTAAGGGGGGGCCATCCACACTCCAATTCTGAGTTCTCTTGACACCTTCCACTATCTCACTCCCACCTGGCAAAGTATGCCCAGTCCTCTCCCAGCCATCAGTGCCCAGGACTTTGGAGAAAAGGAGTACTGATCTATGACTAACCATTCCAAATGGAGTTAGGGGTGATACAGAAAACTCCCAGACACCAGGTAATTACAGAAAAATCCAGGTAACCCAGACAGAGTGCAGCTAGCCAGGCTTCAGTGATCATTTAAACCACCTATGTAGAATAAATAACGGTGGGCATCACTCTTGGCTGACACAGGCTGGTCCGACAGGGAATCAGCCTGTCCTTAGCTCCCTAGGCAGAGGTTAATTTGGCCACCCATAGCTCACAAAGGATATACAGCACAGTCAAATCATTGAGCATTGCCTACATTGGTTTGCTGAGGGGTTTCTGGGGCTGTGATGAGGGGATTGGGGGAGGAGGCTGTCTTCCAGGGCCTGCCTATAGCTGGGCCATTCCACTCCCCTCTGGGTTTCCAGGAGTGTCATCTGTGATGGGGGAAGTGAGGGAAGGTTCCACTGCCCAGTTACCCAAAGCCAACCCTAAACTCTACCTCCCAGGAGAACCCTGCGGTAGATTGTGGGGGTCCCCACTCAGCCCTCCCCATCTCTTCTCCTCCTTTCCCATCCACTAGCTGGGAGTCGCCCCAGGGGATACCTTCCCAATGAACAGTTTCTGAAACACAAATTAGCAGAAATTTCCAGCCCAGGAAAATCAAAATTGTGAGTTTCTTTCCCATGTCACTTTCTTCTCTCCCTCCGTATGACACTCAGCATCCATTTAGCTCTTTCCTTCTTTTCTATCCCCTAACTTCCTTCCTAAGTCAACTCCCTAGGAGTTCTGTCAATGAAGTTTTCCCAGAGGGCTTCTACAGAGCTCAGTTCCACTTGGCAGGGCAACCACATCTTCCACATCCAGTCACGTTGTGCCACGCCCGCGGGGTAAGCGCAGCCAAAACCACAGAAATGAGGGCTCTTGTACAGCCCCAGGAGGGGAGGGGGAAAGAATTCCAGTTTGGGGGTCAGGGTACAGTGGGGCAGAGACAGTTTAGGGCTGGAGAGCACCAGGTCCTGCTGCAGCAACCAGTGCCAAGGCCAGAGGAAAAAGAAGGCTTAGAGGGCAGAGCCGGCATGATATGGCCTGGGCACAGGCTGCTGGCAGGAGTTGGGAAAGTAGTTTACAACAGGCGGGGAGTGGTTCAGGAGGCCAGGCCTAGTCTAGGTCCCAGCATTGAATTTTCAGCTTGTAGAGAGTGGCGGGACATAGGAACACCCCCTGTCCCAAATCACAAGGCACCAGCCAGGGCGTGTCCTATGTGCCTTGGTCCATTGGTGGGAAGGGTGAGCAGGGTACAGGGGTAAAGGACCCTAGAGGAGACACTGTCCTGAGAGACCCCAGGGAGCAGGGGAGGCTCTGACCTTGGGCACAGAGGGAGGGTCCAGCCCTGGGCCTCTGGGCCTGAAAGAAAGGTGGGGTGTGAAAAGTCCAGCATAAATGGGGCTTCTCACCCCCAAACTCACCCCATCCTGGCGGCCAAGATCCAATCAAACCCCAAAGAGAGCGGAACCTGCCGCAGGGGTGGGCCAGACCAGATGGAAGTCCTGGATGAGTGGGAGGAGGTCATGATGGGAACAGGGGCAATGGGGGCAGAAATGGGGAAGGGGATCTTCTGAGGACGGGGCTGATGCCAGGCGTCTTCATTTACAGTATTCCTTCCGGAACTCTAGACATCAAAGGAGGGAAAAAAAGAGGGAGGATTAGTTCCAGCCAGAGCCTGGGGACCAGAGACAAGGATTGGCCTCCATTGTCACCAGGGACAAAGCGATTACATATGTGTGTATGTGTATGTGTATATACATATGTGTATTATGATTTTATATATTTTTATAATATTACATACACACAGATATACAATCACACAGGGCTTTAAAATTTTTAAAGCGTGCATTAGCTCATTGGAGTATTACATGGCCCTTGGAGGTAGGTGTAATTCTTAGCCCCATTTCTCTGGGGGGAATGCTGAGGCTTGTGGAGACATAGAGAGATCAAGGGATTTGCTCAGGGTCACACCTCTGGTAAGTGTCTGCCCGCAATGGACTCCAGGTCCGGAGGTCAAACAGGGAGCATTGTTCTTCTGGCTGACAGAGCATCATCTGGGGTATATCTGCCCCACGGTGGGGAACAGAGAGCAGAGCGGGGGCAGAGGACCCTGGAGAAGACGCTGCCCTGACTTGTGACATGATGGAAAGAATGCTGGCTTTGGGCTCCCAGGCCTGGATTCAGATCCTAACTCTGATCAATAATAATAGCAGGAGGGGCAGCTAGGTGGTGCTGTGGATAGAGCACTGGCCCTGAAGTCAGTAGGACCTGAGTTCAAATCCGGCCTCAGACCAAACACTTGATGCTTACTAGCTAGTTGTGTGACCCTGGGCAAGTCACTTAACCCCAATTGCCTAAAAAAATAAATAAATAAATAAATAAAATAATAATAATAGTAGGCATTTCTAGAGCACTTTAGGCTTTACAAAGCACTTTATAAATAATATCTCATTTGATCCTCAACAATCCTGGGAGGTAACCGTGACCATTATCCCCATTTTATGGATGAGGAAACTGAAACAAATAGGGGTTAAGTGACTCACCCAGAGCCATACAGCTGTCTGAAGCAGGATTTGAACTCAGTTCTTCCTGACAGCAGACCTAGTGCTCTAACCACTGCACCACCTCAGTCTGCTACTTTCTGCCTTTATGACCATGATTGAGTCACTTCTTTCTGGTATTCAGCTTTCTCCTCTGTAAAATGAGGAGTTTGGAGCACATTCCAACCCTCCCTCAGACTCTGAGGTCCAGAGCAGGACCCTCCCTCTGTGCCCAGATCAGAGCCTTCCTTGTCAGCCAGAGAGATCTCAGGGCAGTCTCTCCTCTGGGGTTCTTTGCCCCCATGCTCTGATTCCAGGCACCTAAGACATGCCCCGACTGGTTCCTCAGGAGTCAGAACAAAGGGGTTTCCTGATCTGCTCTGCTCATGGTCCCCCTCCCCACAAACAGGCACACCAAGGTCTCTCACCTCTGTCTAAGTCAATATTTTTGGCTAGGGCCCCCAAGGCCAGATCCACTCGCTCCTTCAAGATATTGTTTTTATAATCTAGGAGGGAAGAGGAAGAGAGCTATAGAAATAACAGCACACCTCCCGCTACCCCAAGAGATGATGGAGGACAGCCCCATCCAGGCACAGTGGCTGCGCCTATAGCCCTGAGGCTCCAGGGCGGAGCTATAGATACCATTAGCACCTCCAAGGTGTGTACCTCAGTTTCCCCTCTCCCTCCAGGGTAACATGTTCCCCCTTCCCTTACCCAGCCTGATGTCCTCGTTTCTAAGCTGAGACAAGTCAGCTGAATCCACTGAAAATTCCTTCATATTAACATCTTTCCTGGAAAAGGAAGAGGCAAAAATTGGGTAGAAATTGGGGCAGCAAGGATGGGCTGGAGATGCAGAGAGGGGAAAAGAGGAAGAGGATCTCCAGAGTCCCCTGGCGGCATCAAGGGCCGGCTGGGTCACACTCACCCGCCTGACTTCTTCACATCATATGCATAGCCTGGGGAAGTGAGACACAAGGGAGGGGTTAGATCGTTCCCTGGCCCCAGCCCTGCCATCTCCAGCCCCAGTCTCGCAGACCCATGGCCCCAGCAGGGAGGGTTAGGGTTCTATGTTCTATGTGTCCTGCCCTAGGAAGCAAGCTCATGTCCTCCCCTGTCTGGGAAGGTCTCCTTCGTGTCTAACCCACATTCTTTTGCTCCGGCTCGGGCCCATGTCCTACCCTTTTCCTGATTTGGCCCAGGGGGAGGCTCTGAAGCATTGGTGAGTGGAGAAGGGGAAGATGAGGCAGGCAGGGGAGCCTCAGGAGACCCCAGGGGCTCACCTCTCTGCCGCCTCCAATGGCGGGTGGCGAGGACCACAGTGACGAGGAGAAGGATGAAGAGAAGCGGGGTGACTAGCACATAGCCCAGCTGCTGGAAGAAGTGGGCCCGGCTTTCAGGGATGATGACGTTGATGACGTTGTGGCCATGGACCACTGGGGGATCTGCAAGATAAGCCCCGGGATTTAGGGATCCCAGTCCAGAACATGGAACTCAGAGAACAGAACCCAGAACCCAGAACTCTGAACAGATCAATGAGGCCTACAAGTCAGAGCTCAGACCTTGAGAGCCAGAACTTGGAGCTCAGAACTCACAATTCACAACCCCAAACTTGGAGCTCAGAACTCAAATTGAACCCAGAACTTGGATCCAGAACTCAGATTTCAGAACCCAGAACTTAGAATCATATTATAGTATTATTGCTTTAGAGCCAATAAGGGCTTTACAAATCGTCCAGTGCAACCCTCCTCGTTTTGCAGATGGGGAAACACGCTTGTCTTTCTGAAGCTGGGTCTGGGATCCTTCTCCATCCCTGTGCTGAGTTCAGCTGCTTCAGGAGGTTGGAGGCCACAACATAACCCTCCCCCTGCCCCAAATCTCCACCATCCCCAGGCTGGCCCGTCCCCAGTCTTGGCTCTTGAGGGGACAATGCCAGTCACTATGCTGCTTCTCATAAAAGCTGCCATTTGCCACAGCCACGCCCCTCAGAGCAGGCACTGGGATTTGGGGGGGAGGAGGGAAGTCTCCCCCTCCCTTCCCTACTCCCCCGTTTTGCTCTGATTTAAAAATGACCTTTATATGAGAAGAAAATACGGAGTGAATGCCAAATGTCATTGGCTGGGGATGTGGGAAGGAAGGCAGAGAGGGAGAGAGGGAGGGAGGGTAGGAGAAGGAGGGGAAGAAGGGGGAGAAAAGGAGGGGCTGGCTTTGTTTTTTCTGGGACTCACACCTGGAGCTAGCCAGGCCAGGTTCTTGCCAATGGAAAAACTGGGCTGCTCCCCAGACCTGCTGGGCCACTCCCCAGCACCAGCCCACCAGGAGCCAGCTTCCTTCTGCCAGCAAAGCTTAGGATTCCAGGATTCAGAGCTGGGAGGAAGCAAAGAGACCAGTCCCAACCCCTCACTTTATAGAGGAGGAAACAGCCCAGGAGAAGGGTAGTGATTTGCCCAATGCCCCAGGGTACCAAGTGTCTGAACTGCCTCCAAATTCAGGGTGGTCCCCCAAGCTCTGATGCCTCCTTTAGGCTCTCCCTGTCTGGGGTGGATGCCCTCCCCAGAGCCAAGCACTAGATGCTGGAGGCCAGGCTATAACAGAACATGGCTCGTATATAATGCTTGAATGTCTGTAAAGTGCTCTGCGTACACTGTCTCATTTAAAACTCACACTGTGCTGTTATATCCCCATTTTACAGATGAAGAAATTGCATCTCAGAGACGTTAGTGACTTGCCTAGTTTCAGACGTGAGATTTGAACCAGGTCAAAGAATCACAGGTCCTCTCGTTCCAGAGACAGAGTTCTTTTCACTGGGCCACACTGTCTTCATAGGAAGGTTGAGTGTCCAGGGGCTCAGCCCAGAATCTCTCCCCCCCAGCCATTGCCCCCTCAAGGTCAACCCCCCTCCCCACATACCAGCAGGGGAGGGGCTTCGGCTCTGGCTGCTCCGGTTGCTGGGAGTGTCCTCAGGCACCAGGGGAGGGCCACGGGGTTCAGGGGCGGGCTCTGAGACAGCCAGGTGGAAGATGCGCCTCTCGTGGAGTCCACAGTAGTGATGATGCAGGTGACAGGAGTAGGTGCCCTCGTCTGCCAGCTCCAAGGGGTCAATGCTCAGGGAGAAGTCCCCCCGGGCAAAGGCATCCATGCTGACCTCCATTCGTCCATGCAAAAAGGGGGGGCCATAGACGCGCCGTTCGCCAGAGGCATACAGGTCCAGTAGGCGGTCAGCACGGTCATGAGGGACTCCTGGAGGCTGGCGGTCCCAGTGTACTACCTGCTGCTCTTCCTCCAGGTGCCGTTCAGTCCACACCTGGGCTCTGTTCACACAGGTCAGCAGTGCTGGGGAGCCCCTCTCTACCACCAGGACCTCCTTCTCACCGTCCCAGTGGGCACCAGCTGCCAGGGCTGGGGGGTGCAGAAGAGGGTAAATAGGATCAGTTCCAGAGGTCGTGGGGTCATGTGGGATTATTTAGACCATGGAGGTCATGAGGGTCATTGGGATCTTGGAGTCCATGGAGGTCATTGAGATTATGGAGGGCATGGAGGTCACTGAGGTCATTAAGGTCATGGAGGCCATGGGGGTAATTGAAGTCATCGAGGTCATGAGGGTCATTGAGATCATGGAGGCCATAGGGGTCATTGAGATTATGGAGGGCATAGGGGTCATTGAGGTCATTGAGGTCATGGAGGCCATGGGGGTCATTGGGATCGTGAAGGCCATAGGAGTTGTTAGAATCATGGAGGTCATGAGGGTCATTGAGATCGTGGAGGTCATGGGGGTCATTAGGATGACGGAGGCCATGGGGGTCATTGGGACTGTGGAGGCCATGGAGGTCATTGGGACAATAGAGGTCATGAGGGTCATAGGGGCCACGGGGTCACTCTGGCAAGCTAGTTAGTGAGGTCACGCACTTTCTGGCTATGGTCAAGAGGCCAGGGCCTGGGAAGCACAGCAGGGCGGGTGTCAGGAAAGGATCTACAAGCAAGTTGCTGGGTTGGAGGTAGAACTCACGGTCATCAGTGACCTGCAGGAGAATGGCCAGGGTCTCATAGAGGTGGCAGTAATGATGGTGAAGATTACAGGTGTACAAGCCTTCGTCTCGCTCCTCCACGGCTGCCGAGTCCAGAGACAAGAGACAGGAGATAAGAGACAAGGAATGGAGAGACAGAGACAGGCACAGAGACAGAGGCAGAAACGAGATGGAGACCTTGAACCTCAAAGCCCGACCCAGGCAGAGCTTTCCCTTCCACATCTCGCCCCCCAGCCCATAGAACCCTGGCCCCTTCTCCCTGATCAGGGCCCTTCCCTTCCCACCTCCGGCCAGGGCCCATTTCCTAGTGCTACCCCCATCCCATCTCTTTCTTACAGCGGATGATCAGAGAAAAATTGCCCTCCTGGAAGGCTGTGGGAGCCAGGAGGAGGCGGTTCTGGTCCCTGGCCATGTAGACGCGCTGCTCCCCGGCTGAATACATGTCCAGGAGTCGGCGTGCAGGGCCACCAGGGCCGCCACTCAGGTCCCAGTGGACTACTCGCTGCCGGTCATGTAGCCGGTCCTGAGTCCACACCATGCGTGGGCTCTGGCATCGAAGCAGGGCTCGGGCCCCCGCAGTCTGGTTCAGGGTTGCTTCTGACACCACCGTGCTGGCCCCTGATCCTGGGGGCACGACTGTGGGGTGGGGAGAGAGTCAACAGGGCTGAGGAGGGGTCAGCGGGGAATACTCTGGGAGACAGAGGAATCAGTAGAGGGTGCAGTGGAAGCAGTGGTATCCCAAGAGGCCAAGGGACCCTGGGGGCAGGAGGCTGGCGGCAAGTTTGAATCCCCCAGAAGGACTGATGGGGTACATCTGAGCACTCTGGTAGCTGGGGAAGCTGGTGGGGGGATGTCTGGGGGCAGAAACCCATATGCCCTGTGTGGGGGAGTGGGTCGCTCACCTGAGAACAAGTGGACACTGCAGCCTAGAATGAAGGGGAGAACCGAGGCATGAGGAGAGGGCAGTGGCAAGGCTGAACACCCCCCTCCCCAGCCTTGGCCTCCTTACTGGGAGCCTCGGGGGTCACAGGGTCCCACATTCTCTTCTTAAGTGGCCTCAGCCCCAGGTCAGAGGAGGAGAAAAATGTGCCAAATCAGCAGAATATAATGGCACTGTTGGCCAGACTTCCTTTTCCATTCTAGAGGGGAACCGATTCCAGGCTGCCTTCTCCCCAAATTTGCCCCAGAATGGAACCCAGCCTCCAACCAAACTACCTTTCCCCTCCAAAACTGCCCTGTGCCCTAAACTTGCCCCATTATCCAAATCTGTCTTTCCTTCCCCCAAATCTATTCCATCCCTCAAACCTACTCCACCCCCTAAATCTGCATCCTTTTTCCAAAACCTTTCCCTTCCCCCAAACCTGCCTCAACCCCCTGAATCTCCTTTCCCCCAAATCTGCCACTCCTTCCAACTCCCTTCCTCCAGACTTGCTCCCCACTCCTAAACCTGCCTACCCCCCATCCAGCCATCCCCTAAAGCCATCCCTTCCCTCCAAGTCACCCCTCCTCCAAACTTCTCTGCCAGATCTGTCCCATCCCCCAAATTTTCCTCTTTTCTATCCCCCAAATCCATCTTTCTCACAAATCTACCCCATCCTCCAAATCTATCCCTCCCCAAAACTTGCATATTTCCCCAGGACTTCTCTTCCTCTCAAACCTTGCCCAGCCCCCTAAATCCGTCCTTCCCCCAAACTTTCCCCTTTGCCCTCAAAGCATGCCCAGGTTCTCCCAAACTCCCTATTATCTCCCCCCACTCCAGGCCTGGCCTTAGAGAAGGATGGGTCTGACTCCCCCCAAACACACACACCTAAGGGGAACTGGGCAATGGGAGGGTGAGGGTCTTCTCTTCATATTTGGGACATTTCAGAGGGGCCATTCTTGACATCCCTCACCTCCACCTCTGTAGCCCAGGAAGGTGGGGGTGAGAGAGAAAAGGAGGCTGCACAGTCTCTCGCCCCACCCACCCCCATCCACAGCCCTTTCAGTGACAGAGAAATTTTTGCTAAGTAAATTTTTGTATTCTGACATGTACGCTTCACGTTCCACTAAGTTCCAGACTCCTATGGACTCCAGCCCCTAGCCAGTTCTGGGAGGGGAGCAGACAGGGTCATTGCCTATCTCTGGGGGCTGGGAGGAGGAGAGAAGGGGAGGGAGCTTCCCCCACCAGCCTTCTCCCTGATCCCCAACCCTCAAAAACCTGGACCCCCTTACCCGAAAGAGACCCCATCAGAGTCACACGAGGACACACAGGACTCAGCACCACCCCTCTTTGCCCTCTCCCCCAGCATCCCAGTCCTGGCTTGGATGGCCAGCACTTACTCTGCAGAAGCAGGAGATGCCAGAGGAGAACTTTTCTGGGTAACTGCTCCATGTCGGCTCAGCCCCTGCCTGGCCTGTCCTGGCTGGGGCTCCTCCTCACAGCTGCCTCTGCCTGTCTCTGGCCCCGGCGCCCTATCTCTGGCTCTTCCAATCTCCCCGTCTCTTGGTCTCTCTCGGTTTCTCTGTCTCTCTTTGTCTCTCTCTCTCCCCTTGAAAAACAAGTTAAGACAGAGTTGTTCTCTGCCCCCACCCCTGGCCTGGCTATGACATCATTGAGCCCGCCTGGAGCTGGGCCCTGGGTCGGACAGACAGACCTGGTCCTGGCCTGCTCCTCCTCAAACTCCTGGCTCCCCACCTCCCCAGGGCTGCTGGGTTCCTCAGCCTCCCCCTCCCAATTCACAGGAGGGAGGAGGTGGGAGAGGGCGGGGGCTCTGAGATTTCCCCCCAGCTCCTCCCCCTCCCCTCAGCCCAGCTCCACCTCCTCCTCTTCTTTTAGCTGCAGCTGGAAGACAGGGAACCCAGGCAAGGTCCAGTAGGATCCTTACCCCACATCCAGCCCAGCCTGGAGGGAAAAGCCTTCCAATCTTCTCCCTCCCAGTCCCCCCAGGGAGAGAACCCAGAGGCCCTGTTGAAGGGGACCCAACTCTGCTCTTGAAGCCCCAGTTCCTCCAGCAGAGGGGACCTAATTCTGATTTTTAAGCACCAGTCCCTCCATCCAAGGGGACCCCAACTCTGATCTCTAAGCACTGGCCCCTCCATCAGAAGAGACCCAACTGAATGCGAGGCAACCACCTCTCTACCAGAAGGGACCCCTAAACTATGATTTCCAAATGGCAGCCCCACCATGCCAGGGAACCCTAGCTCTGATCTCTGAGTGCCAGCCAGCCTTTCCACCCAAGAGGATGCCAACTCTGATCTCTGAGTAATAACCCTTTCTTCACTCACTCAGACTCAAGCTATTTTTTGTGTCTTTAGGGAATATAGCTCTCCCACCCAAGGTTCTGCCAAAGCAGTTCACTTGCCCACAACTGAGATTTGGGAGACCAATACTCTCTCCCCCCTCATGCATCTATTTCCAAACCTGCATCCCTAAGGAGGGATCCCTCAAAGTTTGGGAAAAGGTCATGACCCCCTCCCCACCAAACACACACCCATGTTCGCCAGGAGCCAGAATCAGAGGCTCAGCATTGAGCAGACCTCCCCCCAACGTGGCCAGAGCAAATGCTTCCTTCCCACTGCTACCGTTAACCTCCAGCACCCCACAACTCTCAGGCTGGGGATGGTCTTTCCTTAACCATAATTCTTCTCAATGCCACTCTCTCAGTGAAGATGGAGGATGGCTGTCCATTCCCAAGTGAGTATCTGCGATCCCAATCCTCTCCATGGACACCCCAATCCTCTCCATGGACACCCCACAGCCCCTATCTATGAGAGATGAGGGGTTACTAGAGGAAGTAGCAACCAGAGGGAAATGGACAAGGGGCTGGTCAGCTGGGAGCCCTACATCTGTTTTCCAGCCGAAAGGGATTGGACAAGACTTCTTGCTCCTAGCCCCTGACGTGATCCAGGAGATTTTTCTCTGACTTGGAACCTGAAGCAACAGCCCACAAGAAAAGAGCCTGAAAATTCAAAGCAAATTGTTCCTTGACTCCCAACTTCAATTCTGGGGTAGAGGTCTGTAGGTTAAAGACATGGAAAAAGGGAATTTCAGAGAGCCCCTGGTCTCAGCATAGTCTTGCCCTTAGGGATCGCCTAGCCTCAGAGAAATGTTTGTTCCCTCAAGAAACCCTCAGTTTCGAGTGACAGCTCTCGAAAAGCACTAGCCTGAGGAACACAGTCCTGCCCTAGGGGAACCCCCAAACTGGGAGGAAGACACAGTCTTACCCTGGGGGAATTCTCATTTTGAAATGAGAGACAGCCCGTTCCTGTGGGGCCCCCAGTTTAAGGGGAGACATAATCCCTGACCTCAGGGAACCCCCAGTTTGAGAGGAAGCCAACCCTTGCCCTAAGGGAGCTCCAGCCTGAAGGAAGGAGACACACCTTTGCCCTTTGGGAACCCACATTCTAAAAGGCAGTCCCTGCCATCAAGGACCCCTCCAGTCTAAGGGGGAAACATGGCCCCCGCCTTCTTGGAGCCCCAGGTTTGAGGGGAAAGGCAGGACACATACATTTGAAGCTCTGGGAAACCTTACTGAGGGCTGTGTAAACAAAAGGGGAAATCATAGAGCCCAGCTGGTTCCCTTCTAGTTAAACTAAACCTCAGAAAAAAACCCCACCCCCCAAACAACCACAAAAAATCCTCGGTGCATTTTTTTAGGTTGCCCATTTGGGTTGAATTAACTCTGAGATGCCCATAGCGGTGGATGGCCCAGGCCCACTAGGGATGGATGGTATCCCATGCCCTGGATGACCAGTTCTGGCCCATCACCCAACCCCATCATCACAGTCCTGGTCCAGGACTGGAAATGGTGGGGGAGGTGAGAGGAGCAGCTGTTTGGGGCTTCCTCCCTAAGCTCTGGCTTATTTAGCAATAGCAGAAGTGACTTAGGGCAGATGGGGGAAGGAACTTCCCAGCTGGAAGACGCCCTACTCCTGACTCCAGAATACTTCTTACTGCCTGGCTTTCTCTGATGGCTCCGCCAGACACATCAGAGCCACAAGATTAAGAGTTAGGATGGACCTTAGAGGTTTTCTGGGGCAACCCTTTTCATTTTTCAGGTGAGGAAACTGAGGCTCAGAGAATGGAAATAACCTGTCCAGGATTGTTTTGGGATTCAAATCCAAGCCTTTTGATTACAAATCCTGCTTATCTTCCAATGACTCAGGGGACTGATTGCCCATAGTGGAAGGGCTGGCAGGATTTGAGATCAGGCACAGAGCCCCCTTACCCAAAATGGGCTGTGAACTCAGTGCCTCCGTTCTCCTCCTCACTCCTCCAGGCTTCTTTCCCTTTCTCCTCCCCTTTTCCTTCTCGGAAAAACAAGCTCGAGTCTGGGTTGCCATCCCACCCCCTTTCCTGGACGGCTTGTTGTTTTTATAGCTGGTTACGCTAACAGTGGTTTCTCTTTCTGTGTGTCTCCCTCTCTCTGTCTGTCTCCCCCTTCTCTCCCTCAGTCAGGAGGGTGTGGGGAGGGGAGAACCTTCTGTCTATCTCTCTCTGTCTCTCTGTCTCTCTGTCTCTGTGTCTCTCTGTCTCTCTGTCTCTCTGTCTCTCTCTGTCTCTCTCTGTCTCTGTCTCTGTCTCTGTCTCTCTCTCTCTCTCTCTCTCTCTCTCGCTCTGTCTGTCTCAAAACGTTTGTACATCTTTTACCTGCTTGTGACTCTCTCCATCTCTATCTCTGTTTCTCTTGGTGTCCCTATCTATCCATGTCTCTATCTCTTGGTCTCAGTATCTCTCTCCACCTCTCTGTCTCTCCCTGTTTCCTTCTCCATGTCTCTGTGTGTCTCTCTCCATGGGCCTGTCTATCTCTTAGCGTCCATCTCTCTCCATCTCTCTGTCTCTCCCTCTGCTTCCTTCTCCATGTCTCTGTGTCTTCCTCCCTCCTCTTTCCTTCTCTGTATGTTTTGAAAGGAAAGATGAATTCCAGATTTGGCCTGGGACATGGGCCAGAAGAGGGGAGGAGAGAGTGACCTGGAGCAGCTGAGGAGCCGATCTCAGGCCCAGGAAATGTCCTTAAACAGGGATTAGAAGCTGTTTCCTCTAGACCCTGGGTGCCAAGCTGTCAACAGTAGGCTGGGGGTGGGAAAGACAGGCATCCTCAGGTGCACCACCGGTACCTGTCCTGGTCTCTTGGTGGCCAGGAAGGAGGAAGTAGGTCATCTGGGAGGGGAAAGGAGTTGGAAGGTCTGGATGGAAGCCACTGAGGGGCTGGACATGAAGCAAGCTCAGCGGGACTGGGGTTTGAAAGGACCTGGCCCCCAGGCTCCTGTATCCTGAGATCTAAGGACCCCCTTAGCTCCATTCCTAGCTAATATCGCTGTGTCTCCTGAAGGCTCACTTGAAAACCCTCCTGCTGCAAAGCCAACTTGGCTTTTTCCCTCCCACTGCCTAGTGGGGATGGAACCTAACAGTCAGTTCCTTGCCTGACTGCCCTTCAGGGACAGTGAGCAGATCTTGGAGGAGGGCATCCTTCCAGGCCCACAGAGGGACGTGGCCGGGGGGCTCGCCTCCTGCACGCCCCCTCCGGGCTCTGCTCCCTCTATCCCTTCCCCCCTCCCTCCCTTCCTCCCTCCTAGGCTGTGGCCAGGCTCTGCTCCCTCCAGCAGGAAATAGCCAGCACATGACAGCAGCGGCCACAGGGGCGGGAAGGAGAGAGGAATGGAGGAAGGGAGGGAAGGAGGGATACAAGGAAGGCAGCCAGATGATGGGCAAACAAGGTTGTTGGCCAGGGCAGCTTGCTCTTCCTACTTCTAGGTTATGCTCCTAACATGCCTCCTCCAAGATGCACCTCCAGCTTAATTCCACCCTATATCTAGGGGTACCTTCACTATGACTGGGGCTCCCCAAGGCTAGGACTGTGGGTTCTGCTGAAATCAGAGGCTCTGGGGTGGCAGGGTCGTGTCTCCCCTCAATATAAGGGCAGAGGCTGTCTCCCACCTTAAGCTGGGGGCTCTCTGAGGGCAGGGACTGCATCTTCCCTTCCGACTATGGGTTCCCTCAGGCCAAGGACTCTCCAAAACCAGCCCCTCAGGCCAAAGGCTCTAATCCCTTATACCCCAGGAGCCCGGAAAGGGAGGCAAGCCCTTCAGAGATGCCTCAGCCCCCTCCTCCGAGCCTAAGAAATGAAATTCTGACCCCCGTTCCAGGAGTCTCAGACAGTATAGCACCATCTCCCAAACAAACATAGGTACGGCATTCACAGAAAAACACATTCACACTCCAGCAATCACAAAGACAACCATACTCACAAACACACTTACTCCTGGTCACACTCATAGACACATACACAAATCCCACAGACACACTCATTCACAATCCCACAGACACACACTCCCATATATACATGGGTGTATATGTACATATGTATATGTATGTATATGTTATATCCACGCACGTGTTATATGTGTGTACAGATACATATACACACACATACACACAAAGCAGAGGGTCCAAGCTTCTTACCTTTAGCAAGAGGGACTTCAGGGGGCCTCCCTGAGCCCCCATCACACAGTTCTCAGAATAAGATTTTTCTCATCCAGCAGACATTTAGCAAAGTCTGTCATGCTAGTTTTGTAGACATGGAGAGATATCACACTCACACACACACACACAGAGGCACTCCCACAAATGAACATCCATTTAAATAAATTAACATATTTCTCTGTGAGTATGTATCAGTGAATGTGTGTTTGTGGATGAGTGTGTCTCTGTAGGAGTGTTA